TTGATATCTGTGTGGTAATGTGTCTTTGAATTGCTTCATTACTCTCATATAAATAAATCTTGTTCTAAAAAAAACTATTCAGTTCGATAATTTAAGTAATGAACATCCTAAAATAACTTGAACGACGTTGCACTGGTCGTAATCTACACAAACACTTCCCAAAGTAGTTAACTCATTATGTGCGTAGGATAAGCATTGTGGGGTACATCGATCACTCTTTGCTTGCAGTGTACACCAGGGTTGTCAAAACGCGGAGAATTACACGCCCACACGTCAACACAGGCTTTATCTTGTTTACTCAGACGGCAACCCTTGTATACAGATATTTGGTTACGATTGAAATTCGCTGCAAAGGGCGCGGGAAAATGATACTTTTTGTTAAACCTTCCATCAGCCTTGATTATTGGATGAAAAAATAATCAAGATAGCCAATTTGATTTTGTTGATTTTTAATTATTTTTCAAATCATATCTCTGATCCGAGCACTCAAATAATAAAATTAATATTTGTTTTATATATCGCAACTTTATATAATAGATATAATAGGGAAATTATTAAAATTTAGACGCGGTATACTTTTTATATATAATTCATGTTTCAATTTCGATTATTTTACTATTTGTTACATCTGAAAACAACAATTATTGAAATCAATCGTATTTAATAGAATATTAATTACATAATATACAAGTTATGTAACAAATATATCGCATATATCATACTTAGTAGAAGGTCAAAAGGAGAACCTTTTAAAGTTAAGATAAAAAAAAATTGCAATTCGGAAAAATATATAGATCGATTTTTATTTTACAATATATTTGTTACTGCATTAACTCAAAAACCGAAAAGTATTATTAAATTACCAGCGTGATTGGTAGATTTTTATTCAGTATTTCGAAAGCCTCCACGATAAAGCTTCTATTGTTACACTAATGCATTCGACTTTCGTGAAAATTTTATGTACCAAAAATACTATAGAAATGCCATTAACGTATTTAAGAATGGTCTGCAAATTATATATTTATATCGTCATGAAGTAAATTTAATTTACTTTAAAATTCTTAAAACACTCCCAGAGTCTTGAACACTAAGTGCGGCACTTACAAATTCAATTACTAAGAGTGCAGTTTCATTAGTAGTATGCGACCGCATGCGTGGAGCGACTTCCTGTTCACGCATGCCCTAGCGCTCGCATGTAAGAACCGTTTTCATCAATCGCTAAGGCCTACCCTAAGCGATAGTCTTTACTTTTCCTAAGCGGGCATTATGCTAGTCAACTAAGTTTCCATATGACATTTTCTTTACTTCGACCGATCATTTTCATTAGTCATTTGCCCGTATGCGGGGATACCCCGCATGCTGTACAACTTTCGAGTTCTCGACTAATGAAATTGCCCTTTTACAGCACCAATGACGTATGTCAATATCATTATCAAAGTACTATAAGAATATGTTCTCGATAAATATATTTATCGCAGTTTTACTTTAAGTAAAAGAAAGAGAGGTATTAAATGGCTTAGAACACAACTTCAGCTAATGGCGCAAGAGGAATCGAGCTCAGGTTGTCAAAAGAGAGAAAAATCCTTTGTAATAAAGCACAGTTACGCCGCAGTGAAATGCACTCGTCCCGAGCGCCCGCCGCCGCCCGCTCTCGCCCGCTGCCGCGCCAGCCAACCCCCGCCCTCGCCCGCTGTCGCGCCCGTCGCCGGCCCTGTCCCCGATGCCGTGAAATAAGAGACTAATTTTCACTCGATTTAAAAGAAGGCTACTCGCTCTTAAAATAAAAAAGCATTGGATCGGAAATATCTTAGAAACTATTCGGATTGCTAGTTCTTTCCTCGAAGGGATCGATATTGAAAACTATTTTAACAGAAGTATAAATTTGAAATGTAAACAGTTTAATTCAAAAACTCTCCGTCAAACTCACATCGATCGAAATTGAAATAGGCCCTTAGAATTACTATGATACATCTTAACAAAGGACTGCCCAAGACCCGATAGATTACCTCTTATTAAAATTAAACTATCTGATAAGTGTTTATTTTCCAATTTTTCTATTACAAATTTCCTTGCGGCACGTGAGACTTTTATTATCTTCATTGTGACATTTACCACAAATATATTTCACAGAAAAAAAACTCCCAACTTTACTTAAATCTAAATGGTTTCTAAAGAAAAATATCTTGGAACAGTTCGATTTCAAAGAATCGGTTAATTAAACATTTCGCGCGTGGCGCGTGGCGCGTGGTGTGGAGCGAGCGACGCGGATTATCCCGCGCCCCTCGTCTCCAACTCTTGCGCTAACAACTTTTTAATACGTCCTTTTTCTTTCAATCCATTAGAGCGATTATCATCATCAATTCTATAAACCTAAGAGGTTTTCTCCAAATTGAAATGATCAAAGGTTTTCCCTCCGTTGATTAACCTTTTTGAACTTTTACATTCTATCCACAAAAATGTTACTTTTTTAATTACGAATATTAAGATGAATTTTAATCCTATCTTAAGTGGATCTTTTTAACTACTAAAATGTGTACAACTCAAGACGCACAGTAAATGCCCAGACATCGTCTTAAAAGTGGCAAAGATTTTATCGTTCAAACAAAAATTATTTTTATAATAATCTATATACAACATCGCTTATAAAAGTAATCTGGTAACATATTTCATTATAATCATAATAGCAACAATGAATATTATTATCATTACATTATAAAAGTAAATGTACAAAATAAACGTTTCATATTAAGACAACATAAGCCCAAAACAAATGTTTTTACCCGACTGACGAACAGGGTAATGTTTTTAAATTAGCTTAATAATATTTTGGTGGCATATTTTGCGCTATAATGGATCCCTTGTTTAACGTATGTAAGTGATTAAGAAAAATTGATATTTAACTACGCTGCGTGCCCGCCTTAATAGAGTATTTTGTATCGTCTTTATAGCAAGCAATGATTAATGAAGATTTTGGAAATATCCAGAGCCCTAAAAAGGTATTATTTATTACATTGAGATTGACAAAAATAAAATAAAATATTACATGATAGAATATTAAACGAATTGAATTAAAAAGTAGTGTTAGGAAGAAAATCCGAAAATGTGCCAGTGTATTGACGCAACACTAGCCTTACTAAAATGTCGACGTTTATGTCCCTTCACTATTCATCCTGACACTGGACTTTGTAAGGAAAGCACGTCATTCGCGCCAAAGGATTCTTATCTATAATGTCTAAAAGTAGCAACAATCTATTCCTAATATTATATTTGGCACTGCAGTACAAAACAGTTCAAACCCGCAATTTTCTGCACAAGTATACAAAATATAAATTTTTCGCAACAAAGTCGTTCCGATATTGCTTTGATAAAAATCTTCGTAAATACCAAAATCCGTACTATAATGTAGCACTAAAGTTATGTAAGGTTCAAAATCTTGCGGAACTATAAAACATTTAAGCCTCGACCGTAGCGAAGTTTCATGTAACCCGCTGAAACCTCCGCAATACCAATAAACTAACTGAAAATTTTAATACTGTAACAATGTTATAAACATAGAATGGCATGCGGCCGAATGCCTCCAGGAAAACTATTCAACATGCAATACTATTATTATGTCAGTTTTACTTTGACATTTATGTTGTAAGCCAATTTTAAATCAATAAAACATATTTTAATGGCAACCGTATCGTGCTTTATGTACAATTTAATAGTGTTTTACTTCTTACATTTTTAGTAAATAACCTATGTAACAGGTGGTAAAAAGAACCATTTCTTGGAGATTAAGTTAAATGATTGACGAGTTTTCATTTAGGTCGTAGATTTTATTTACGCAATATCAAACAATATTATCATACACGCATTTACTTAGGACCTTACTCAGAGTAAGTACTTAAGATTTTAAAATCTTCATAAACAAACTAATTCTTAATGCGGCAGTTACTACTATCTACTAATATTATTTTTATTCCAAATGATAAAACTTAAAAAAAACAAAAGACAAATGAAAGCACTATTAAAATTTTAGTTCCAAAACCACTTCTAAACGTCACTTAAGGTATAAAAACGGTATAGAAACACAAGAAATAATAACAATAACAAAGTTAGACGAGTTTTCGTTGAAATTCTAAATTGATTATAAAGACATCGCGTTCCTTTCAAATACACATCATGTTTTGAGGAATTAAATATTTTAGGAACTTATATTTTTTACAACACAATTAAATAGTATACTAACTCAAAAGGGATGATATAAGAAATTCCACTGCAAAAACGTAGAGAAATATATCTCTTCTATGTTCATATGTTTGGACTATCTCGTCAAGGTTATGTTTGATGGCTACACAATTTTTTGCCTGACTGATAAGAGGGTTATGTTATTTTCAAATTTGAAACGAATGTGAGTTTGTATGTTTGTCTATCGTGAGACTTTAGCTAAAATGGTTTGAATGATTTTATGAAGTGTGATTAAATAAGAATTCTTCATATGTGTTATATGGTTAAACTCAGTTGTGCTTAAGAAAGGCAAAGACATTCAAGACAAGTCTATTAATGGGAAATAAAAACATACATAGGATGATAACTATCTACGCTGTAAACTAAAATAACAATGAAACTCATGATTCTTAACACATCGATACTTGATTACATTATTTATATATGTATAATATGTATGAAATATAGTGTTAATGAAAATAATATAAATGTACATCTTCCACCTGTTTCACGTTGAACATATCTTGTAATTTTCGTAAATACTTATCTTAAGTAGAAGTAGACATAAAAATGTGCTTATAAACATATATGTCGATCTTGTTAGGATGTTCCAAAGATATTGATTGTTATTGACGTAACAATTGCATAATTTTATTTTTAAAAAAAACTAAATACATTGCAAATAAAAGTTTCCAACTAATTTTCAAGACATGAGTTTCGGTTTTATTGTCATAGTAAGGTTATGGAGAAATCTTTACTCTACATTTAAATGAAAGAACCCTACTTACCCACATAGTGCCACTTCTGACAAGGTCATGCTCTAAATCATTTTCTTATTTTTATTACACATTTAAATATTAAAAGAAATTATTTACATATTTATATTAAAATTAAAACTTAAATAATTTTTACAACGGCCAGTCTATTTTCATTTAACGTAACACGATACGTCGATCGTATTTCGTATCCGATAGTTCGGGTCGCGAGAAGGTCGCACGTCTTTCTCCGTCGACGGCTACCTATCGACTGACAGTAGACTAGCTCCCACAACATGTTTCGGAGGCTCTGCCAAGCTGCAGTGATAAACGCGCCTGCGCAATGCAACTTTCCTCTCGTAACCTTCCTTAACAAATACAACCCGCGGCTCTGTCAACCGATTTTGACATTTATTATCAAGGTCTGACAGTATACGCGTGTGTCAGAATACGTCTAACTAGTGATTACATGTTTGCGTGAAGTCGTTTAAATAAAGTTTGGAAGCACATGTTGACAAGTTAACTAAGTTTGAAGGCTGAATTTCTTTGGCTTTTTAATTAGGTAGATTGATGGAGTGACTTGAAGAGTTGGCTAAAGTTTGCATATGAGTTCATAACTTGTTTCATGACTAAGTAAATATCATGCGATACACAATATTTTTTACCAAGAACTTCTTTATTAATACTGATACTTGATTTTCGTATTAGAAGAAGCGTATTTTTTACATACTGTAAAACTGTTTATAGGACAGTTAACTTTAAGTCATGTCGTATTTCTATATGCAACAAAATAAAAAAGGGTTTCTGCGCGTGGGTGTGCGTGTGTGTATTATTTGTGTGTGTATGTATGTTTTTGAAATGTACACACACATTTTAAAAACTTTTTTTATTTAATTTATGCTAATAGATAAAGAGATTAAATATCAAAATCTGACTTATAATTAAAATAAAACCACCGTGTATAAATTATTTATTAATAAATCATTTTTAGAAACGAATCAACTTAATTCTTAGTCTCTTTATAGTATCACGAAGTCAATATTATGCGAGGCCATTCAAAAAGCTCGTCCCCTTGTCCTCGTCGTATCAACGAGCACAAACCCCCAGTGGTTTTAAGATATCACCCCATTCACCCTTCCAGTTGATACCTCATAAATTATACTTAAATGCTTTGAAACGGTTTACATTATTGAATTCATTTAATTCCTTCGAGTTAAAAGGGTAGCAGTTAATTAAATGTTTTGTTCACTTTATATTGCATAGCAGTTGCACACGGCTACGTCTGTGTAGGATAAAAAAAATACAAAAGCTTATGTTACACGAAGATAGTGTAGCTTCACAATAGCGAATGATTTTTTTCAAATCGGTTTAGTTTAGGAGCCTTTAATACAAACAACAAATACAAAAAACATCTTATCTCTTAACAAAATATTGGTATTGATTATTAAATAGATAAGAACAAACTGTTTTTTTTTCTTTAATTCATGTAATTATGAGATAGTGTCAATGGCCTCTTGATTAATTTACTAATATACTTAATATTTATATTAAAAGAAATAAAAGAGTTCAGAGTATAAAATTGAATACCCTAAACTCAAAGGGACCAATATAAGAATTCAGAACTTGACTTGGCAATATAAATAAACTGTTTCCATTTGTAAGACGAGACCTTCTTAAAGGACGGAATGTAATTCTTTAATTATAAAATGCAAATTCTGTGAAATCTGTGATAGCTATCGATGCGGCCCTGGGGACGTTTATGGAGTGGAAAGTTGATAGAGCACTAAACAGTTCCCCGGGAAATGGCAAAGCATTTGGCCCACGCACTTTTATACAGGAGCTTTGACTCGAGTTCTGATTAATGTTACTTGTGTAAATTTGAATTAAAGGAATCATATAAATGTTATATCTTATAATCTTACTAATATTATAAATGCGAATGGTTAAATGAATGTTTGTTAAAAAGTATCTCCAGAATTGCTGCATGAATATCACTGAAATTCGGCATAGATGTAGAAGAGTCTGGAAGAATACATAAGTTTCTAGTACTAGACAGCTAGTTTGTTATAAAATTAAAACCCAACGGACTTTGTAAGACTCTGGGGAAGAACACTAACATAATGACATCTCAGCATTCCAAATCGATCACTTAAATTTTAGAAGGTGATACTAGAACGAACATAGGTTACAAAGCTATGCTGAAACGTATATAAAACAACAGTTTCTATTTAATATCAAAGACATTAGATGTGACATTAACTGTTATTTAAATGTGTTACTCGCTACGTTGGATGATCCTCGGATTTACTTGTATTCCTTTAAGACGACAAACTTATGTGTGTTGGTGTAGCAATAAGGGAGCGGCCGACGCTATTCAAACGAATTGCTTTCTGATATTTGATGTGCGGAATCCCCGACACATTCTTTTCATAAAATGAAATAAAAAAGTGTTACCGTTACAGAGAGAGACGTATATGTATGGTGTGAATATACATAAATATACATATGATTACCTGTTAATATTTATATTATATAAAAACTATTTCGTAAAGCCATTAAAATAGAAAACAAATATAAGAATCAGATAGATATAACATACTCTGGAAAAACACGTAGGCTACTAATTAAGTTTTTTTTTTAAATACGCGCGGACGGTGTCGCAAGCGACAGCTATTTTGTAATAATAGAAAAATACATTTCGTTTGTTTTTTTCTCCTTTATTCTAATGTTACGATATTCAAAATACGTAGGAAATACAAGAGATCGTGTACAGTATTTTTTGCATTCGCGCTAAATAATAAATCTTAACGGAGGAGGGTTCGATGAGGGGACCCGAATGTAAATCCAATTTTCTTTCCCCTGATTTTTATTACATTTCATGATTAAATTGTATCATTTATACGTCGCCATGTTATACGAAATGTGTTTCAATAACTCTATACATTTTTTTATTAGTATTCCAAATATAATAGAGAAAACCTACGAGTTTGGGTAATGACCTGCCTCTGGCCTGTAAAAAGATTTTGTCCATAACAGATCCTCGTTTGTAACATTTCTCCGTTACAAACGAGGTAGCAAACAAGTACCTCAAGAATATTCCTATGCATCAAATCTATTTCTCACTAAAATCAGACTTCCGGATCGCACGCTCATAAGACGAAAAGCGTAATAACTTCCACTTGACGCTTGCCTTCTCTGTGGTCGTGGTATTGCAACGGACAAATCGACCCATTTGTGATTTAAAACTTAATTCCAACAACAAATAAATCTTACTTTCTATTCTTTGCATTTATTTACATCTAAGTATAGGTACTAATAATATAAAGAGAAAAGATTTGTTTGTTTGTTAGAGCCATTTGGTAAAGTTCTTTCATTCGTAGAAAGCTACACTATCCTATGGCACTATAGACTATATTTATTACTAGATTTTTCTAATTCCGCACGGCCGAAATCGCGGGCAACTGCTAGTACTAGTTAAATAGTAATGTCTCCAACCACTTTAATAATTCAACCTCAATTTCAAGCGCACTTTCCATATTTGAAACGCTTATTTTACGGTTTCCTTGTACTCGTTGAAAAAAAACTAATTCGAACTTAATGCTCACCGCCATTTAAATAGTAAACTTTTCTTTTAATTACAACAATTTTCCTTTTCCTTTCATTTTAATTTGTGCCAGTGCTTATATCAAATTTTCTAATATATCATAAGGTGGCAAACGAGCAAGGGGCCACCTGAAATCGCTGAAAAAGCGAAGTGACCGTTGCCCATAGACACACGCAATTGCATATGCGTTGCCTACCTTTAATCGACGGAGGAGAGGATGCACAGAAAGAAAATATTTTCCGTTCCCATGCATCCTCTCATCCGGAAAGTCAAATTCCCTTCCCTTTCTTTCCTTATAAGAAAAAGGGTGAAAAGGGAAAGAGGACTAAATTAATCCTCCGGGACGCAAACTCATCAGACGAAACGCGGAATTGCTTCCACTTCACGCCTGTCTTCAAAATTTTAAAAAAGTTTTAGTTTTCTACGATTTAGGTAAAATTTGGTAAAACATGATGCAAATTCTTGCTCAAACTAATGTACTGTACTAAAATAAATTCACATAAATACACGTAAGAGTTTAAACACACGAAAGTATTCTTCAAGTCACTAACGACTGAGCGATTTCTACAAATCATAAAAAAAAATCAAAACACGTACATTTGTATATACGAGTAGCTAGGGGGTAGTTACAATGAATAATTTCGATATAAAAGGCAAAGCCGACGACCGTTGTCGGTATTTCAATGCATTGCTTTTGAATAAAAAATCCTAATGGCCCTTACAATGTACCAAGCTATAGTACATAATAGGCAAGCATTTGCAATGTATATTTTTATTTTAAAATATAACATAGAGATTTTTCCTGTAACTTTATGTATTGTTCGATCAATACATTATTTATAATAGCTGGACTTATGTTTTATTTACTGACACGTTATCTAAATTGACATAAAATAGTAATTCAAATTAGACATCAAGGGAAATTCGAGTTTTAAATAAAAAAAAACTTAATTAAAAACATAGGACTCTATTTAATAAATTCTTATTTAATAGAAATAAAAACTGGTGTAAGTATATAATACGAATCGACATTTAGTATTTGAATTTTTAATTTTCATTAACATAAATAATTATAGAAAAGTATATTGTTATATCTTTTATTCCAAAGAGAGTATGAGGGATGACATGTTTTTTTAAGAGAATCGGCACCTATGGACATCTGTGACACTTGAGGAACTGAAGATGCGTTGCCAGCTTTTAAGCTCGCTTAAGATATTTTATGAAAATGTTTCATCAGTGGACACTTAAAGTTAAACTCACTTGTAAACTATTAACATTCAGAATGGCGACATTGGATACCATCGAAAAACAACGCTCCCACGTGCAGCGTCATTGTACTGAACAAACGTTCCGATACTCAATTGTTTAAGATACAATAACCTTAACTATTATACTACTAAACATTCCTTTTGTTTCTTTATAACTTTTTCCTTTACATTTTTCTAATAAGCATGTTTGCAACAACAACTGAATTTGAAACGATATGGTTTAAAATAAAAGCTTATAACTAGTCGATGCTGACACATAAATTTACACTAACTTTACGTGTGTGTGTGTGTGTGTATTTATATATTAAGGTCTTAAAGGTTTAAACAATACAATTACTACATCTCGTCTCATAATACTAAAATAATTGGATCATTTC